ATGAGAAAATATTTTGTAAGAGCACGAATCAATTGTGATTTGCCCGTTCCACCACATCCAGGTATACACATAATGAGCTGACCATTATTGTCACCTAAAATAGATTATTTGATCAAATAAGTAATGATTTATTTTACGAAAATACCTGTGCGACATCGATTGTCACCATCGAGATGACTTGTTATTATCAAGAATGCGGCTCTTTGTTCCTTGTTCAATGTAAATTCATCAATGATGCTGTTTTGAGTTGAAAAATTGTTTTTAACTACAAGTACTGGTGGAATTGATGTATTTTTTTTGACATTATTTCGATTATTATAGGGAATGACTACCGTTACAACGGCGTCAGTTACATCATTAAAATCCAATATATCATCATCAGTATTATGTTTTCCCGAAATCAAACTGCGCCTGATTCGTTCCTTTTCATTCTTCAATTGATCTTGCCATTTTGAATTAAGTTTAATAAGATTAGGTGTTGCGGAAACAAACGGTACAATTTGTCGATCAATGCCTGTATTTGAAACATGTTGATCATGACCTAAAACAATTTATATATTTTTTCCTAAATGATATAGATCATAAAACAATTAACACTTACGATTCATATGATTGAACCGTCCAACTTTTTCCACAGCTTCAATCGTTTCGCGAATATATACGTTTTCTGTTGATTTTTTCGTGACATTGATTGCAGCAGCTGTAAATTCATCTACATTGCCTATTAATTGAATCAAATCCTCGATATCATCTACTTCGTATTCACCATCAGCACCGTGATTTGATGGTAAAAATGTAGGATCAATCGAATCATTATCGACCTGTGCTTCAGCAATAACTTGAAGTAAATGTTCATCACGATCGTTTTTACATTCATGTAAAAGTTGAATATTTTCTATAATCTTCCATGAATGAGCCGAAATACAATGTTTTCGAGATTCAAATGCATCTTCCCATGTTTGATTGATATCACAAAGATCAATTACATTGCGCCATGGTACGAAAAGTGTGAGAAGCGCACGATTGTATCTTTCTCGAGTATCATCGCGATCTTGTCGAGGAATTTGAGGACCATAAAGAACAGGTACATGAGCTTCACTGTATTTCATGAGTAGATGTGTTGTTGCTTGAGGATGGTCTTTTTGAAAAAAAAATCGTTCATTAGATGGTCGACCTTTTTGATTATCTTGTCGTTTTTCAGTCGTAGAGGATTTTGATAAATATTTTATATCGGTTTCATTAATTTTTCTTTTATAAAATGTACTGACAAAATCATATAAACAAGTGTTGTTGAGGCTGTTTGAACGATATTGATAATCAACGCGTGTATTAACTAGTATAAAATTGTTTTTATCTTCCGCTGGTTGAACTTGGAAATGTTCTTCATCGTTGTTTTCCTCATTAATTGTCTCATCATCAAATATATCTTCATCATCAATTACATCTATATGTGAAAAAAAACACGCACATTTTTTTAATCATTATCCATGAAATGCTTCATCATTTCACGTATCAATAAGTAAATCATATTCGAATAATTCAGCTTGCTTCTCGATACTTATCTATAGAAACAGCACTGAAATCATACTAACATCTTCTCATCGAACAGGACTTATTGGTGACACAATGCATCATTGAAGTTCACACTTTTCCAATCATCATTATCACTCTTTATATGAAAGATATATCAAGCTGTTTATTTCTTTTTCTTTTGATTTTTTTCACGGATTGATTGTTTATACATTGAACGCTATCTTTCTTTTCCATCATTCCTCTTTCCTTTCTTTCTTAACATGTACGTGGTCGGTTAATTAATTATCGTAGGTCTATTTTCCTGATGTTCAAATTGTGCCTATCGCGTTTTTTTCCTCTTTCTTTTTCTTCTTCGTTTGCTTCTTTCCTTTTTCTCGCTCTCTTCTCTCTTTCTCTATCCATCTCTCACGCTGTACATATAGAAAAAAAAGATTGTCACTGTATGAGAATCACTTGAATAATAAGCATATAAAATGAATTAATAAGATCTACCCTGTGATGTTGATTGAAGATTTTGTTTCGCACGTATTTCATTCAATTCAGATTGTAAAAATCGTTCAGTTTGAATAAGATAAAGACCTTGAAATTTATGTGTTGTGTAGTGGTCATCCCAATTCATAAGATAAGAAGCAACTTGCACACCAGATAATTCTTGTTGTGAAGCAAGTGCATTATAACAACGTAAAACGAGTTTACGCGATTTTTCAATTACATTGTCCTTGTCTACTTGATTGTTTGGATTTTTTAATGATGTAATACTTTTTTGGACAAGAGAAAATGTATCATGAAAAGATAGACTCATCTTTGTGACATAATCGGTAATATAGTAAACTAAAGCTTTGGCATCATTTCCGATCCAAATGAATTTAATATTCATATTGGATCGGCAAGCTGAGATAATATGGGCTTGTCCACGTAACGCGACACTTCACTGATCAAGTTTCGAAAAAATTTTTTTTCGAGTTCAACAAATTTGAATAGGCCTCCAGATGCAGTTTTTAACGCTGATTACGAATCTGACATCCGTTTTGCAAAAGAATCAGATTTTCTCATCCAAAATTAAGTTTTAGTCTTTTCAAAAATCGCATTTTGAGTTTTCTAATCAATAAAGTTTTTCAGAAAATGTGTTGAGACATACCATTCGATGCAGAATTTCATTCTCTACAAAATGGGCTATTTGGTTTTCACTTTGATAACTGTGGATGCTTTATAGCCTTGTGTGTAGTTTCTCACTTTCTGCTCAGATTTTGAGCTCCCATTTCGATGGATCGATCTGATTTTTTTATAGAACACTTAGCTACACATAAGGGCTCACCCTTCGAAAAATCAAATCATCTTGATCATGTTAAGTGTCCCAAAAATGGCTGACAAAAAACTGTGTCATACCGTTACGAAAAACGTAACACCGTTACGTTTGTTTTTTGGCATTTTTTACCTGAGGAAGATTAGATAGGAGAAATTTTTTTGATCATTGTGAAGATTGTAAAAAGCTCTACAAAATACATACTTATGGAATTGTATTTCGACTAACACCTTCGCAGGAAATCAAGGATTAATGATGAACACTACACAATGAGGGTCCTTTTATGTAACACCGTTACGCAATCGAAAAACTTTTCTACAAACTCGAGAGTACGATGAAAAGAAATCATTTTTATTATATTGGTAGAGCTTGATGAGCTACGTCGAATTACGCTTGAACAAACTTTCTAGCTGCCACAGGTCTCGAGATAAATAAAAAATAGTATGTTAAAAACGTAACACCGTTACGCTTGGACAAGCCGATATACTCATTGAAATTATTGATCCATGGATCTGATCGTTTCATCGAAATATGACCAGTTTCTGGATCGATTGTTGATACTGGTACTAGTTTTCTTGGCATACGCAATCGGCAAATCTTCTTGTCACCACAAGCACCATTGCAGTATTTATAACATGTATCACTGTGTCTATGAG